TTGGGAAAGCACGAAACTTGGCAGATAAAGATTTGTACACTGCCAATGATCCCTATGTTGAACTTTATATACGCAACACAAATAAACAACGTACGGCAATGAAATTGGATACAAACGCGCCCGAGTGGCACGAGAAATTTGAGTTCAATGTTGATTCGAGCGATACCACAATTCATTTTGATGTATATGATGAAGATTATACCTACGATGATTGGATTGGTAGCTGCACAATGAATCTGGCAAGCGTTTTTTCTGCTGGTGCATTTGAAGGATGGCTTGACCTACTGGGACAGTCTGGGTCACACGCTGGTCAAATTTATATTCATATGCAGTTTTTGCCGTAAGATAACACTTTTATTTGAGGGTGTGTTTACAATATTATTACTACCGAAAAGATAATAATAATATATTTGTAAAAATAAAAAGCTAGCGTGTGGGTGTGTGGGTGGGTGTGGGTGGGTGTGGGTGTGGGTGTGGGTGTGGGTGTGGGTGAGTGTGTGGATGTGGGTATTTTTCATTGCTTCAGAAACACCCACACCCAAACTGATACAAGTAAATGAGATCAGTTATGATTTTTTGAATGGCTACTCTTTGAACCGAAAATCTAGGAGGGAAACTCGTTGTTTTCTTCCTGTATAAGTTAAAATATTTTGCATCTCACAACAATAGACATAAACAGCTTTTCACAATTTGCACTTATATTCATAATGAAGGGCTTTTCTTAGTATGGAGAGAGAGAACCTGCTAATAACTGACCTTATAAGTAGTTACAGTCCATTTTGTCTCTTTATAATAAAACACTTTTTCATGCGGGATAGAATGAGCACGAGAAATGAAAATTTTGAATTTCATAATTATTGATGATCATTCAATACAGAAACTAGAATTAAGCTTCTGTAGCCAGCAATACTAGTAATCAAGATGAAAAGTGCCAGCCATGAGTTGCACATACCCGATACACATGCAAGAAGTATCCAAAGAATTTAATCCATACATATGATACAAGCGGCTCAGCTGCAGGTAATTCATCATTATGACCCACCAGCATTTCGTCCTTCGTGTTTCTGTTATTCAAACTAGTAATATGCGAACTGCTTCAATGACTATCATCTAGGGGTGGGAAGTTACCGTTACGTTACCAAGTAACTAGTAACTCGCAAGTTACTAGTTACCGAGTAACTAGTAACGTCGGAGTTACCAGGTAACTAGTAACTTCGGAGTTACTAGTTACTTTTGGTAGGTAACTTGTCTAAGAAGTGGAGATATCGCTTCCTAATGAGTGAATACCATCATTACAGTACTTATTCAGCTCACGAGTTACCGAGTAACTAGTAACGCACATAGGAGTTACTAGTTACCAAGTAACTCGTAATTTAATTGAGTGATGAATAGATGATATTCAGTCATTAGGAAGCGATATCTCGACTTTTTAGACAAGTTACCTACCAAAAGTAACTAAATAGTAACTTCGAAGTTACTAGTTACCTGGTAACTGGTAACTCCGGCGTTACTAGTTACTCGGTAACTAGTAACTCAAAAGTTACTAGTTACCCGGTCACGTAACTTCCGGGTAATGGTAACTTCCCACCCCTACTATCATCTATGACGGAAGCGATAACATTGATGTGCTTATGATATACAGCAAGAGTTCATTTGCAGAAGAAACAAGATATTCAGTTGGCTATTTTTCACTTGGCGGCGCTGTTGGTGATCTCAACAACGACAATATACTAGATATTGTTGTCGCCAATTCTGGGAGCAATGATGTGAGTGTTCTTTTCGGATATGGAAATGGTTCATTTTCAAATGAAATAAATGCGAAAACCTCTGATTTAAATCCGAGTGTTATGTGTACTTCAAAAAGTGAAAAGGTATATTCCCTTTGTTTTTATCTCGTGAACGGTTTGGCCCTTTGAGCTAAAGAAGGTCTCAATTGGACAGAAAACAGTTTAATCTATAAATTCACTACACCCAAGTGAGTAATTTATGAGATAAAAAGTGATATAAGGCAAAAACTGCGTAAATTCAACGAAATAGCATACTCCGAGGGGCGATATTTTGGACTTTTCTCACTTGGTGCAGTAGGCTCTGTATTTATTTTTTTCTGCAAGACAGAGCTCGTCAAGATACATCTCTTGTTACTAAGTTACAAGGAGAAAAACACAGGCGTGCTAAGTTAGCATGGACCACACTGTATGCGATCCTATCCCGTGACCACTGACTACTCTCAGAGTGATATAATATCTTTAGAAATCACAGAAATTGAGTTCAGATTCGTGTTCAGCTTGGAAAACTGGGTAAGAAGAGTTATTTTTGAATGGATTTGTGTTTGTATTTAGCGGAATTACGATCGTAAGCAACATCACGAATCTATAAGAGATATATCATAGATACAGGCATCAGTATTTTCATAATAAATCACCAATATTAATAGCTATCGAGTTCGGATTTTTGCCTTTCGATAGTCCTTTTGACTAGCTACAAAACTAGGCATTTGGGAAACCCCAAAACTACTGGTCATCTGAGACATATCTAGGCAATTTGGTTTTTGGATGCAGTTTTTGTACATTTTGAGACCTTTTCAGGCAATGTTTCGTTAGAAAACTACGATTTGGTTCAAAACTAATATCAGATTCGGAATCAGCGTTAAAAACTGAGTCGATTTATATATGTTGTGGATAATTCTGAGAAAAATATTTTTTTTGAAAAAATCCCTGTATCCCCCTCAGGGATGGTCTGGTCAAAAATGACAATTTTTTTTGGATAACTCAGCCATTTCTTGACGGATCCTTCTCATCTTCGAACTCGACCGAGATATTGATGAGACAATTCTGTGCACAAAATTTCAGCTCAATCGGATGTAATTTGAAGAGTTATCGTGCACACGGACAGACGGATGGCCGGACACACTGACCGATTCTAGAGTGTACTCACTTTTTGAGTACACAAAAAGACATTTAGTTGGCTCTAATCCATGGTGTGTAGCTGTTGGTGATTTCAACGACGACAATCAACTAGATATCGTTGTCACCAGTGCGGATAACGATGATGTGAGTGTTCTTGTATATGAAAATGGTTCTTTTGCAAATGAGAAAAGATATTGAGTTGGCTATTTTCCACTTGGCGTAGCTGCTAGTGATTTCAAGAACAACAATCGATTAGATATCGTTGTCGCCAATACATGTAGCAATGATGTGAGTATCCTTCTTAGATATGAAAATGATTCTTTTGCAAATGAGAAAAGATATTCAGTTGGCAATTTTCCACGTGACGTAGGTGTTGGTGATTTCAACAACGACAATATGCTAGATATCGTTGTCACGAATTTCTATAGAAATGATATGAATGTCCTTCTTGGACATGAAAATAGTTCTTTTGCAAATGAAAAAAATATATTCAGCTGGCTTTTATCCACAATCTATGGCTGTTGGTGATTTCAACAACGACGATCGATTGGATATTGTTGTCGCTAATTTCGGTAGCCATGATGTGAGTGTCCTTCTTGGATTTGGCTATATAGGATCTAGAAAGCAAATGACTCTGGTAACTGGAAATGGTTCCAGACCACAGTCACTAGTCATTAGCGATTTCAACAATGATGGCTTAATGGATATCCGTATCGGAAATTTGCTCACTTCTAGCGTTGGCCTTTTTCTTGGATATGGTAATATATATTTTACGAATCAGGTCATATCTGATACTTATCCATAAGAATCTCTTTGTACTATATCTGTTGGAAACTTCAACAATGACTCTCGAGTAGATATCGCTTTTGGTAATTGTAATTCAGATAAGATCGGTGTTTTTCATGGATATGGTAATGACTCTTTTGGAAATCTAGTGGGCTATTCAACACGTTCATATTCGTCAAGATATTCATTATCTGTTCATGACGTTAATAATGATACTATACAAGACATTATCGTTGCGAATCAAGACAACAACAATCCAAGTATACTGCTTGAATTTAGTGATGGCACATTTGCAACTATTATGCTATTTCAGTTAGACTATGGATCCAATTCATTCTCCATCGTCGTTGGAGATTTCAATAAAGACGAAAAAATGGATATTGCCGTGAGCAATAATGGAACTGACAGTTTAAATATTCTATTGCAAACGTGTTAGCATTTTCTGTCTATGACAGATTGCTTCATGTCCGTAAATTGATCATTTTTGTGTACTCAAAAAGTGAGTACACTCTAGAATCGGTCGGTATGTCCGTCCGGCCGTCCGGCCGTTAACACGATAACTTTTGAAAGGAGAGTCCAATCGCGATGAAATTTTCTACACAGTTCAGTCTTAACAATGTCGCGGTCGAGTTCGAAGATGAAAAGAATTAGCTAAACCATTCCTGAGTTATTGCAAAAATACTCATTTTTTCCTATGGCTTCCTATGCGAAAATCGACCCATCCCCGCTTTCGTAAAAAACTTTTCCTATCATAGTCAAATAAAACCCCAACTATTATATACCATTCGATAGAGAATTTCACGGGCTACAAAATGGTATATAAAGCATTAAAAATTTGAGCTCAAACTTTTGGGCCAAGGAAAGGGTTTTTGAGAAAATAGCGATATTTTATAAAGGTTGGCGAAAGCAAATCGGGGTCGAGGAATCTGAATTTGAAGTCAGATTTTGAAAATTCTGAACAAAAGTTGTTGGGTTAAGGAATCGTTTCTTCACTTTTTTATCTCATAACTTACTCACTTGGGTGTAGTGAATTTATAGATTAAACTGTTTTCTGTCCAATTGAGACCTTCTTTAGCTCAAAGGACCAAACCGTTCGCGAGACAAGGTTAAAATGCCGAGCATACACTCAAGATAGTTAATTTTTATTATTAAACTGTCTAAAATATTCATCCTTGAGCGCACTAAGGAACTGCCCCTTAGGCCCTGCGGAGGCCCTCTTTTTGTCCCGTAGGACGTGGCGAGGAGTTAGTTCCGGAAGTTTTATTCATTCGCATAAACTTCTTTGCTTTAGCTGAATCGTGTTTCTTTTTATAAACTCATGTTAATTATGTCAAAGTGTGGTACAAATTGTTGAGGATTTTCTTCAAAAGGCAAGAGAGCATCATAATGAATACCATTGTAGTAAACACATAATCCTAATTTATTCATATCGGATTTGTATCCTACGTGTTTCAAATGACCACCTGCTGTCCGTTCATTAAATCGATCGATCAATTCCTCCAAGCTAATATTCGGTGGTATATAGTGCCTATTTTCTGGATTGTTGTTAAATCGGCTATATGAATATATAGGATGAGATAGAGCTATAGAGAGAGCTTGAATTTGAACTTCTCCACCCCATATTTTATGCTTAGCAGTTCTTTTCAACGGTTCTTCAAATGAATAACCCAATGATTTACAAAGTGTTCGGAAATAATCGCTATTATTGATCATTGCATTTACTGCCAACAATCTCATCGAATGTGTTAGTTTTTCAGATCCAATATTTAATATCGAAAGAGAACTATATAAACAATTGCCATCTGCAGTCGTGCGGGTTCGAGCATAAACTGAGTCAAATGCTTGAACAGAATATTCTGTTTCCAATTCTAACCGGACGAATCGGTCTTTATTTTGCATAGTTATAAACGGTGATTTTTCAATTACATCATTGATTACTTGAGCTTGACTTGAAATTTGATCAGTGTCTGTAGTATTATTTAAATCAAGTACAAGAAGAAATTGATGAAGAATCTTTCTCGAGTTTAAATCAATGATTTCATAGTTTTCGGAAGAAGATTTTTCTTCAATATCCATCATATCAGATGGATCATTAACTTTGAGATCTTCCAAATGGAAAGACATATCTAAGTCAATTTGTTCGTTTTTATCGACTGTTTCACGGCATTCAAAAACGAATTTCTCATCGACTTCCATCGTGTCAGATTGATCATCAGTTAAAACATCTTCGATATGAAAAGGTATATTTGTACGAATGTCTTCGGTTTCATCAAAATGAAACTTACAAGGGAACCTTCCCAGGTGTCGGAGCGCTTTTCAGTCGGGGTTTCGCGCATCTTGTAGTCCATAGTGAGCTATGTCTATAGTAAAAAAAGTTCGAGTTTCTGGCTTGTTTCTGAGGAGATATCGAGCTCTTAGTGAATTTTC